ACTGTGTTAAGCTAACTGAGACTAGTCACAGCACTTGTGTATCATTGCTCTTTTGCTGGTTTGGATTGCTTCTGTTGTCCTCGTTTGTAAGTCGCTTTGGATAAAAGCATCAGCTAAATGACTAAATGACTAAATGTAAGGGTGTTGTCACACGTTCATTAACCGGTGGGAAAACTTCCTCACCGTCACAACCCTACCTTCACGGAGAACCACTTGCACGGCAGCCCCTCCAGATGAATGGTGTCGGGCCGCTCTCCGGGAACCGTCTCGTTCATGTCCCTGGCGTCTCTGAAGAAGGAGTCCCAGTCGTGGCGTGTGGGGAAGTCTGCTTTGTGCTCGACGGCACGGATCTTCAGGACGTCTGTGAAGCCGCTGAGCTTGATGCTCTTGCCCTCCAGCTTGGCCAGCGAGCGCTTGACGGCGCTCCGGTTCTCCACCTCGCCCTCGAAGCGGAGGAAGTCCATGCTGCTCTTGGAGATGCGCAGCGAGGAGAACTGCTCCGGATGCACCATGGCCTTCAGCCGCTCCATTACCTCCCAGTTAGAGATGGACTTGCCGGGCGTCTTGAGGTGCGGCAGAGCCACGCTGACCGTGATTCTGGAGATGTGTTTGAGGTAGAGACTGAACTCGGGACACAGATCCACCGCATCGGCCGTGTCGCTCACCACAGACGTCATTCTGGAGGCGCTTCTGCTGAACGCTGCACACAAACACACAGCGCTTCGGTACAAGTTTATGTGTACAAGTTAGTTCATTTGCAAAAATCATGTTTTTTTTCATTGTGCATTAATCTCAATCAAACTGCAGTCGGGTTATTTTGAAAAACAACAAAAAAATGGCTATTATCACTGATATGTGTCCCTGCAGCACAAAAGCAGTCTTAAGTCGCTGGGGTATATTTGTAGCAATAGCCAACAATACATTGTATGGGTCAAAATTATCAATTTTTCTTTTATGCCAAAAATCATTAGGATATTAAGTAAAGATCATGTTCCATGAAGATATTTTGTAAATTTCCTACCGTAAATATATCAAAACTTAATTTTTGATTAGTAATATGCATTGCTAAGAACTTCATTTGAACAACTTTAAAGATGATTTTCTCAATATTTAGATTTTTTTGCACCCTCAGATTCCAGATTTTCAAATAGTTGTATCTCGACCAAATATTGTCCGATCCTAACAAACCATACATCAATGGAAAGCTTATTTATTCAGATTTCAGATGATGCATACATCTCAGTTTCACAAAATTGACCCTAATAACTGGTTTTGTGCTCCAGGGTCACATATTGTATAATATGGTATTATATGGTAACTAACAATAAAACGCAATAAAAACAAGATAACATGCTTAAAAAAACATGATTTTTGAAAATTAGTTATCTGTAAAGTTATCTGTTTTTGCAAATAAACTCTTCAATTGTAAAGCTGTTTGAACGAAGCGTTAAAGAAATATCGGGCGAGTGTGTGATTTCAATAATCGATCATAAAACAACTCCACATTGACCCAGCATTAATCTGAATCAGTCTTATTATCGTTAACAAACTAAAATGATTAAAAAGCATTGACAGTAAATGAAATAAAATAAATTTTAACCAAAAAAAAAAAAAACTTTCAGTAAATATTTATGTTAGCTAGCAAGGCAATTATAGAATTACCAAAACTGGAAATAACTAAAACTCAATTAAAAAAAAAACAATAATAATAAAAAATAAATGAACAAACAAACAGACAGACAAAACTTGAAATAAATGGTTAAAATACATTTACATTAATTAAAATAAAACAAATTGTTTACTAAAATAAAAATTTACGTAATGCTTTCAGTAAATATTTCACTTAGTCGGCATGGCAACACATTTCTTATTTTAGCTTAGTTTAAAGAAGTAAAATGACCACAATTGAAAATAACTAAACAAATAAAAATAATAAAAATTAAAAAGACATTCAAAAAAAATAAAAAATAAAAATAAAATAAATAAAAATTACTCAAATGTAAACGATTGAAAATTAGAAATGATTTAAATTCGCTGACATTAAATTTAATAAATTAAACCGAAATAAAAAAACTGAAATAAAATCAAACTGAAAAAGATAAATATATAAATAAATATTTCACTGATTTTCATTTAGTTTGTTAAAGTTCTAAGATTACCAAAACTGAAAAAACACCGAACTCAAACCATAAAATATATAAAAACTAAACAAACATATTAAAAAAAACGACAAAAACACCAAATAAAATGATTAAAATACATGTATATTAGCTGATATTTGTCAGCGAGACTGATTATGATTATACTGCAGTAATAAGTGTGGTATTCTGAGGTAAATCGTGGTAAAAAAGAGAAACTGTTGAAATATTAATAATAATTAAAAGCTCCTCAGTGGCTCTGGTCGAGAAATAATAACGATATTATACTGAGAACACGCGCAGAGATGCGGTGATGTGCAGATTATCGACGAGTTATTGATTTGTGAAGCTCGATTAGCGCTTTAACCGCTACTCACCCGGTTACCGCTGCTAAACTAGTCTTACTAGCTGAGATTAGGACATGTAAGCGTTTACTAACCTCTCTGAAGAGTTTGGACTGAAGCATCAATAACGACAGCAGACCGCGCACAGCTGAAACAAACGGACGTGACGCCGCTGACCGCTTCCGCAACCGTCACACAGCAACCGGAAGTCACCGAGGAGCTCTGATGCCCTCAAGCGGTCACTGTTTGACCTGCAGCTCGGCCGCAAAATTACTGCGCATTTATACAAATAAAAAGTGTTTAAAAACAATGGGTTTAGTCGGATTAAAATTTTTCATGACACACTAACTTTGTTAATGTCATATAATAAAGCTTCTCTCAGATCATGACGCAATAATCCTAATATAAAAAATTAAAATAAAATAAAATAAAATTAAATTAAATTAAATTAAAAAAATTAAATTAAATTAAACTGAACTACATTAAATAAAATAAAATAAAATAAAATTTAAAATTATGTAAAATAGTTGGGTGGAAAACAATAGAGAAATCCTGTAACCTCTTAACATAAAATGAATACAATTATTAAAGAGACACAAATAAACTGTTAAACTATCCTTAATTATTTCTTAAAATAATTCTACTTAATCTTATATATGAGTAATTCTGATCTATCATATACTAAATGTTTTACTTGCAGCTTAACTGCATTTTCAATATAATAAATACATTATTTATTTATTTTAATAAAATAAAATAAAATATTTGGGTGGAAAAAATTAGAGAACCTCTTAACGTACAATTTTTTAAAAAGTATTAAAGAGACCCAAATAAGTTGTTATAATCTATCCTTTAAAACTAGAAACAAACAAAAATCTTACGGGCCAGAAAATTGCTCTTATTGATACATTTCTTATTTATGACAGATGCAATATATGGTTAATTTACTTTGAATTTATAAAAATAAGTGGTTTGCTAATCAGTTTGTTGACGTCAGACAATAACGTTACGCTCAGATCGTGATGTAATAATACGAAATAAAACATAAATCTATAAAGATCGAATCAAATCAAATAATCTATAATCAATCCTTTAAAACTAGAACCTTTACTTCTTCAAATATTTGCCTTTAAAAGCATTTTAAGGGACAGAAGATTCTACAGTGACTACTGTTCTGATGTTGAGCTAAAGCCCAAGCTTCACACACGCGAGCGCATTAAGCAGCTCTGGGAACAATGTTAATCTCTGGAGGAATAAAGAGCATAAACCTGCTCGTTTGAAGAGAGTACAGACCTCTGTTTCTTCAGCGTCATACCCCTCATCAGAGAAAATAACCAGGTGTTTTATACAAAGATGTGTGCTGATTTCTGTGCTACCTCTGCTTATTATATCTGCTGATTGTGTAATGCAACTGCAACTGTAAAAATGTGACCAAAGCCATATTTTAAACTGTTAAAGGGGTCATAGGATGCTTCATGCACTTTTACAAGTTGTTTGAACTTAATTGTGTGTTGGCATTAATATGCCTATAATGATAAGATGAAATTAACTTTAAGACTAATAAATGCTGTAGAAGTATTGTTCATTGTTAGTTCATGTTCACAAACGAAACCTTATTGTAAAATGTACCTTTATTTCTACTCACTATAGTACCGTTAGATGCATTATTTATTTTAACCTATTTTTTATATATTTTTCCTAATTTCTTTATTTGAATATTTTGATCAAACATCATTTGCATTTATTTAGATAATTAATTTTGTATTTTATTTCAAATTAAAAAAAATTTTTTGTTTGTTTTTCACGTTTTTCAATTTTTTTTCCTTTTTAGAAAATGAGTTTGAACCACGCAGTAAACAAGCAGCTCAGCTGATCTCAGAGTAACAATGTCTTTGCATAGGTCTCTATTATTCACATTTCTGTCTCAGCCAAACAGATTGGATAAGGGTCTGGATTTGACCAGCGACTCCTCTCCTTCCTCGTTCTCTCTGAACGACGTGCTGTGGACGATCTGCGTCTTGAAGCGGTTCCTCTGCAGTCTGATGCGGCCGATGGAGGATTTCCGATACAGAGACCTGGGCCTGGGCTGAGCATCGGCCGTCATCTCCTCAGGGTGGTTCAGTAACCGTAGAGCGTTGAGGTTGGACTGCGCATTATGTGATTTTGCATTATATATTGTATGCATTATGTACATTGGATTATATATTATATGCATTATGGGATTTTGCATTATATATTGTATGCACGTATATATCCATTATACGTTGGATATATACGTGCATATATAATACATATATAATATGTACATTGGATTATATATTATGCATTATGTGATTTTGCATTATATATTGTATGCATTATGCACATTTAGATTATATATTATATGCATTATGTGATTTTGCATTATATACTATATGCATAATGGGCATAATAATTATTATATGCATTATGAGCATATGCACCATATATGCATTATATGATTTGCATTTGGAATATATATTTATTACGTACATTTGGATTATATTTCGTTCTCTCTGAACGACGTGCTGTGGACGATCTGCGTCTTGAAGCGGTTCCTCTGCAGTCTGATGCGGCCGATGGAGGATTTCCGATACAGAGACCTGGGCCTGGGCTGAGCATCGGCCGTCATCTCTTCAGGGTGGTTCAGTAACCGTAGGGGGTTGAGACTGGACTGCAGGACTTTAGGAAGCTTCCATCGCCCGGCTCCAGATGCGTTCTCTGTGTCAGAGTTCACACAAGCTCCTATGATGTCCTTGATGTCGCATGTGTCGCTGGATCGGAGATACTGCGCCGCTTTCTTCCCGCTGTAATCCCGCACATCCACGTCAGCATCATACGCTCCCACCAGAAGCTTCATGACCTCTATATGATTGTGCATGGCTGCCAGGTGCAGAGGCGTGTAGCCGGCGCTGGATCGGGCATTTACGTTGATGGCGACGCCGTGCCGTTTGGCGAAATCCACCAGCGTTGCGAAAAGCACGTGTCTGCCTTGCTTAGCCGCCCAGTGCAGACACGTGAACCCGGTGACGAAGTCCTTCTTGGAGATAAGCGTGGGTTCACACTCGAGCAGCCGCTGCAGACTGTCCCACTCGCCGTCTGCTGTGCACATCATCCACTCGTGCTCCAGCGGGTCTAAAGTTACCGAAGCACAATCCTCATCCACAGACGACATTCTGAACTCACTGCTTCTGGCTGACGACTGTCCCACTCGCCGTCTGCCGTGCACATCATCCACTCGTGCTCCAGCGGGTCTAAAGTTACCGAAGCACAATCCTCATCCACAGACGACGTTCTGAACTCACTGCTTCCGGCTGACATGTGCCCTTGGGAGTTACGGTGCACCAGTGAGCGTCTCACCTGCATATGCATTACATATTATATGCATTATGTACATTTGGATTATATATTATATGCATTGTGATTTTGCATTATATATTGTATGCATTATGTACATTTGATTATATATTATATGCATTATGTGATTTTGCATTATATAGTGTATGCATTATGTACATTTGGATTATATATTTTATGCATTATGTGATTTTGCATTATATATTGTATGCATTATGTACATTGGATTATATATTATATGCATTATGGGATTTTGCATTATATATTGTATGCACGTATATATCCATTATACGTTGGATATATACGTGCATATATAATACATATATAATATGTACATTGGATTATATATTATGCATTATGTGATTTTGGATTATATATTATATGCATTATGTGCATATGCATTATATATCACATGCATTATGTGATTTTGCAATATATATGATATGCATAATATGCATAATTATTATTACATGCATTAAGTGATTTTGCAATATACATTATATGCATAATATGTATTTGAATTATATATTATATGCATCACGTGCATTAATACATGCATTATGTGCATATGCATCATAAATGCATGATGTGATTTTGCATTATTTATTATATGTATTTGGAATATATATTATATACACTATGTACATTTGGATTACATATTATATGTATTATGTGCATATGCATTATATATTATATGCATTATGTGACTTTGCATTATATATTATATGCATTATAAGCATAATCATTATTGCTTGCATTATATGATTTTGTATTATTCATTACACGCATTATGTGCATAATCATTATTACATGCATTATGTGCATATGCATTATATATCATATGTATTATGTCCATTTGGATTATATATTATATGCATTATGTGATTTTGCATTATATATTATATGCATAACGTGCACTTGGATTATATGCATTATAAGCATAATCATTGTTACATGCATTATATGATTTTGCATTATTTATTGTATGCATTATGTGCACATGCATTATAAGCATTATGTGCTTTTGCATTATACATTCTATGCATTATAAGCATAATCATTATTATTACATGCATTATATGATTTTGCATTATTTATTATATGCATTATGTGCACATGCGTTATATATTATAAGCATTACATGATTTTGCACTATATATTATATGCATCATGTGATTTTGCATTAAATATTATATGCATAATGTGCACCTCGATTATATATTATATGCATTATGAGCATAATGCGCATTTGCACTATGTGCATTATGTGTTTTTCCATTATATATTATATGTATAATGTGCATTACGTGTATTTCCATTTTATATTATATGCATTATGTGCATTATACATTATATGCGTTATGTGCTTATATGGATTATGTGTATTTCCATTATTATTATTACATGCATTACGTTCCTGTATGTGCATTTGCACCTGTCCCACCTGTGGAGAACTGCTCATCATGAGCTCTATGAAGTTCTTGCGGCTGCATTTTGGGGTGCTGCCATCCTCTGCAGGTGCCTCATGTGCTCCATCCTCAGAAGAGCCCAGCAGACTCCGCAGAGATCCCCTCGATGTTCTCCGTCTACTAATAATGACCTGTGGCGTGACAGAAGCTCTGCCAACTCCAGCCTCCAGCTCCGCTTCTCCTGTTGACTGAGCATTAGAGAGCCCAGGAGCATTTGGTTGCATTACATCATTTCCATGCACAGTGTCATTATCCTTTGCATCAGAGAGCTCACAGTCTTTCTCAATCAGTGCGATGTCAGACACACTCAGCTCCGCCTCAGCATCTCTCACAGCCTTCACCTCCTCTGATTTAGGATTCAGATCACTGATTTCTTCATGCACGTTGACGTTCTTTTCAAAGTGCAATGCATCGATTCCTCTGTTGATGTCTTCATCATCATCATCCTCATCGGGCTTCTCATCCTGCGCGCGCAAGCTGCGTATCTCCGGGTATCTGTACTTCTTCTTCAAACACACCACTTTCTCCCCGTTTTCTTGCTTCACGGAGGCGATATTGTCCACAAAACGCTTAAATCTCTCTTTTAGCACGGCTCGCTTCGCATTTTCGCTGCTCAGAAAGACTTTAAAATGCGCGACCAAGTCCTTGTTTTTCACACGCCCCCCATTTTCCAATAGAAAGTCCAGGACGGATTCTTGCGTGCACTCCGTCGCCATTATATCACGCTTTATGATAATATCAATAATAATAATAAATAAGCGAATGCACAAATCAGCGTCTAATGCCCCTGCGTCGTTTTGACAGGTCTATTTATCGTTAGTCTGTGCGCTGAAGAACACATCGCGTCTTGTCTTATTAAAACTAGGCTGTGGATGAGATTGAGTACTGAGTGTGTCACATAGGGGTCGGTAGAGCTTATAAAGATGATGTTTGCGTCCTAGCAACTCTTGTTGGAGGACGGAATCACTAGTGTGAAACTGGAGTACAGCGGCGTTCATTTGGGCTCAAACGCGCCCGGCGTTAACGCGGGAAGCGGCTCCGCCTTGAGCCAAAATGGATTCCAGTTACACCTGGTTGGAAGGTTCCACTTTGCCGGGACAAGGGGGGTTGGAACTCTATTGAGCTTTAGAGGTTTTAATTAATGAAACCTAGCATGACTTATAGCGTTCACTCGGGTTAAACAGAAGTGTAGTGTCACGAAAGTGCTCGGTAATGTATTTGACATTTGAAGTCGTTATACTTTGTCGACTTAAGCTTCACAGAAACCCCTCTCGGAGACGCTGGAATGGTTGAGCTGTTCCCAGTGGCGTGTCAGCTGGAAATTATTGGACGAGGCAACTTTTGACTTTCATCCGAAAGCGATCAAATTTTTCTTCAAATATTCGCTGTTTTCTGCGCGCAAATGGCTTCTTCTGATGTGGTTCGACAGATGGTACGTTTGCGATCGATATATTCCCTGTTCTGAGTCTTTTCTTGTTTCTGTGGCTGTGTGAAGTTTGGGAGTGAGTTGGCGTCAGCGCGCTTGGGAGTGTCCCGTCCTGACACGCTCCCGCCTCATTTATTAATCTGTAAACAAACATCTGATTCATTAATTTGATGAAATATATCTAATTTATCAATCTGAAGCAATTTAAATGATTTATGATAATTTTTTCCGATTCCTGAATCCGAATGCGTGTATCTGAATGAGCAATCGGAATGCATTTCTCAATCTGAATTATTAATCTAAATACAAACATGTGATTTATTAATTTGAATACATGTATCTGCTTTCAGTTAATTTTTAATTTCAAGTCAATTAATTGATCTGATTTGTGAATCTGAATATTGCATTCCGAATACATTTCTCGATATGAATTATCAATCTGAACACATGTATCTGACTTATAGATTTGATAAAAATCATTGATTTATCAATTTTGAATACATGCATCTAATTTATCAGTTATTTGTATAATCTCAAATATATTCTTATTTATAAATTGTGAATCATTGATCTGATTTATGAATCTGAATGAGCAATCGGAATACAATCATCCGAATTATCAATTTTAATTCATTTATGCTATTTTAATACATTTTACTATTCATTGTTTTTTATTATTTAAATATTAATATTAGATAAAGAAATAAATTAAACCTACATAGTGATATAAAAAAAGCAAAATCACAAAAATCACATAACAAAATTACAAACATTGAACTTAAATTAAAATGAAAACTGAAAGTATAAAAATAAAAACTAAATATATAAAACTATAAATTATACTAAAATAATGTTGTTCTAAATCAGAATGCAAACATCAGATTTATCAATCGGAAATATTAATATGAAAACATTTCCCAATTTAAATGAATAACTAATAGGTTAATATTTGTTTTGATATTTTTTCCAATTTAGACGTTTACTCGTCAGTTAACCCGTTAGAAATATTTGACAATTTTTGTCGAAGCATTTATTGCATATATATCTATAGTTATATAAAATATACAGTGGATATAAAAGTCTGAGACCACATTTTAAAAAAAATTTTAAATCTAAACTTGAAAAAAAGTTTTACATTTGATAAAGTTTTAAAAGTTAAAATTTTTAAAAATTAAAAATTTGTGAAACTGTGCGTGAAGTAGGAGTTATGAGATATTAACTGGAACTCAATGTATTAAGACACTAGGGCTGTCGAAATGGTTGAAAAACTAAATTCGAATTTTGTACTCAAATATTATCTATATTCGAATTTAAAAGGCATAATTTCAGTTAGGGGGAAAACAAGATTTTGGCTTGAGGGTGCATCGAGCGAAATATTACTAATGCACGTTTCTTCAAAGCAATAAAATAACACGACTATCTTTGAAAAAAATAATGTTTAAAATAATGTTTATAAACCATATATAATTAATTAAGTTGCTTAAACAATTAGAAACAAAACAGCATCATGTATGCATGTATAGTTTAATACAAAGGGCCAGAAACCAGAGTACTTTTTTCATTTAAAAACATGAGTTGCTTTACGGCGGATGGTGAAAACCGCCGTAAAGTCTCGAGACGTGTTTTTTAATAGTTAAACTTACGTTAATTTTACATGGCTTTCTAAACATGCGAAGATGCGAGTGCAACACTGATAGGAAATGCGATAAATAGGCCTATGCGTTCTGTTTGAACGGCTTGGTTTCAGTTTTACCGTAAACAACAAAA